TTTTTTGTGTGCATCTGAAGTTATGTAACTGGAATTGTGTAGCCGGTATGTAATTCTGCCACAGCCGTTACACAATTATCCACATAGCAAGGAGCTTTGTGTTTTGGTTTGAAATTCAAATATTTTTAACTTCTGCACTAATTATATGCTATCTTACACAAAAAAATACCTTTCAAAAATATAATTCAATGCTATCATAACAGCATTTTTGTTTAAAAATTCGCTAAAAAAATGCTCATAAAATTATTTTTAACGTTGAAAAATTATTTTTTTTTCATTATATAAATTCTTATTCTCATTATATTAGTCTATTAGTCTTTTATTATATTCTTTTTATCATGCAAATGATTTCTAAAAAACGAATATTTGTACAATATATACATATAGGTTTTATTATAATTTTACATTGCGTGTCATATGAATTTAATATATGTACATGTATATATGAATTTTCATTAAGTTGTTATAAAATTTTATCTATTTACATATAAAAATAATTGAAAAACATGAAATTATATATATAAAGAAACCGTCTTATATATTTACAAAAATACAAAATAAAAGTTACAATACTATCGACCATATCAGTTTATGGACCGTAGGCGAATTGGTTCAAAAACTGTTCGGAAACACTACTGAACTGCCGCACCGGGCTTGAACCATTGATAACATAACACGACCGGACGAGGAGCAACGAAGTGACTAACTTAGGTTAGCAGTCGGCGGGCGGCTCAGTTCCGGTTCCGTGTCGCGCGAAAGCTCTTCTGTCAGCAGCCGACTCGTTTCTGTGTCACATGGCGCCTCCTCGATCAACAGTCAGCTCAGTTCCGGCGGTTCCGCTGTCGGCGGGCGGCTCGGTTCCGGTTCCGTTTCGATCCTTGGCTCGGTCCCGGTTTCGTGTCCCGTTGTGGCTGTGGCTCTGCTGTCGGCGGAGAGCTCGGTCCCGGCTCCGCGGAGGGTTTACCGGATACTCGGTGCTTCGCCCACCAAGCTTTCGAATCCTTGACTCCCATGTTGTAGCCGCGCATATACATTTTCTTGTACAACGGAGTCTCTTTGAGTTTTTCGACCGTCATTTCTCCCAAAATCATTGTGTCCGGCTCGATCGGTAAGTCAAAGTGCGGCCGTTCTTTGGGGCCGTAAACGTCTCTGTAGAGCAACATCCACCTGTCCCGCAGTTCAGCCGCTGTCAACTCCTCGGCGAGCCCTTCCATCAAGATGTCGGACGGCCGGGGTGGATTGGGTTTCTCGCGTTTGAAGTGACCGAGGAGTTTTTCAAGAGCTTCCAAACTCCTCGGAGGAAACGGCGGTCTCTTACGTCGTGCCACGTAGTCGTCGTCCATTTTCAGGGCTTCCGGATCCGGAGTAATTTTCGACACCTGCGTCGAAAAAAAAAATAAATAAAATTAAATCAATTGTTTGAACTGTTGAAACCGATAGAGTACTCGTATTTTACGTGATAATATAATATAAATAGTTGATAACTTGTACTGTATTTTTAAGTATAGTATATGGTCACGGAAATCGACACCGACGATTAAATTAAGTTTAGAACAATCGTCTGCAGCCCACATAAGGGCCTCAGGGTTTATCGGAATAAAAATGACAGTTAAAAATCCATTTAAGTAAAATTTGTGTGAAAACGTAACCCACTTACGATTGAAAGAGGATCCGTTTCTACATCAAAATATTCGCACGTATGCTTTGTCAGCGAAGCGTATTGTAGCGCACCGTACGCTCCGTAGTCACCCACATCGACGGTCGAAGACTGTGCCTGTGCGTCCATTTCGCTGTGAAAACTGCTCAACCGTGTTTGAAAGCGTGAACAACAATAACAGACCAACGCTGGTGACTGCTGCGTGAGACTGACGCGCGCTTGGTCCCCATGGTTTCTACTGTTGTCTTGCGCTTCATGCGTGCGTGCGTGCGTGCGCTTTACTCTGTACTCCTCGGTCACGAGTCGCGCGGTCTCGCGTTAATTGTTGGCATCATTCTCGTTAACGATAACGATTCGTGTCTTTCCGAAACGTTCCGACCGTATTCGACAGTATTCAACGCGGTATTTTACGACCGAAATATTGGCCTTGGCTACTACGGGTATGTAATAATTATGTTTGTAGATGTGTATTGTATATAATTGATAAAAGTAATTATGAGCAAAACTAAATGTCCCATCTCCAAAAACGTTTTCAGATTCACAAAGATGTTTTAAGTTTTCAGAACATGTAAACAAAATAATTTATTTTTCTCGATTGACGAAACCAAAATTGTTCATTTTTAGTTTTAATATCGACTGGAGTTTCAAACAGTTGATCAAATGCTTCATTAGTAGTTGTTGGAATTTTGGAAAATATTTTTTACGAATTCTATAAGCCGAATCTCTCAATAATTTAATGTCATTATGAACTATTACCTCCTTAAAAACGAGATTAGTGTCTTGAATTTCCTTACGTATAATCTTATTTGGTTTTGCATGTAAGTCTTCTTCGGTTATCCTTTTGATAGCAGTTCTAACACACTGAACAGCTAAATTATGATCAGTAGTTGGTTCGTGATTATGTATATTATTATTTGAAAAAGATAGTATTTTATCGATTTTAAAATTCACTAAAACGCTCTCAGTATATTTTCTGTTAGTACACCGAAAACGAAAAGACCCAAGACCCGTTTTTAAAGTGGTTAGATTCAATAAAAATATAATTTTCAATTGAAATGCATCGTTTATTTCTTTTTGTATTAAAAATATAATCAATTTTAAGACCCATAATATTCCATAATATTTATTAACTTAACAAACTCACTAACACTACAGTACAACTTCAGGTTTTCAATGTTCAAGCAAACTGATATTTGAAAATATGATCCTACCTATACTAGTCGCCGACCCCTGCAATAAGACTGTACCATAATTAGGTTGATATAAAATTCCCTTTATAATAATATTTTTATCTTAATCCTTATAATTTTATCTTTTACATTTTCTCGCTCAAACACATTATAAGAAACTCGCCCAAACGCATTACTTATTTATTATATAAAATATTAATGCTTGTAAATAAAATATCTTTATATGAAAAAATATAAAATTTTACTCGTATATTTTAAATGTGAAACCAATGTTCAAAATAACTGATAAAAGTTTTCGTGAAACGAACGTCAAGTCCCGATGCCGACAAACCATGAAATTACCAATTTAATAATTTAATAATAATTAAAAGAAAATATTTTATTATTTAGGTTATTTTACAAAAAATGTGTTAAGTAAAAAGTAAATAATTTTTTTTATATGACAGAGATTTAGACTTGAACTCTCGAGATTTGTATGCATATGTGTGAATGTATATGAGGTTTTTTATTTGGGGGAAGTAACAGCTGTCCCATTTTTTTATTTTCTTAATATGGTCACCCTAATTTATACGCACAATAATATTATATTGAATATGATAGGAATTATGTACTTCTTCCTATACGTTGAACTATGTATACTTTAATTTTAAGTATATTTTTTCTGCTTTTGCATACACAGATATTTGATTTTTGGAATGGATGTGATTAAAATCCGAACAAAAAAGTATTATTTTTCAAAGTGTACATGGGCAAGTGTTGTTGGAAATACGATCTCTCCTCGAACTTTATGGGTCAATAAATAATCTTTTATATAAAAACACTCATTCGTAGAAACTGACGAAGGTGGAAATAATTGTTTGCAGCAGCAGGTGTATACTTCTGTAATGTTTTATATAATATAATAATATTTTATGCAGTTTCAACACATGCATAACATGCAAAAGAAATATATCCGTACAATTTTGATTTCTATAGATTTTTTTCTGTGTCACTTGTATCGTAAGCAATATAGATTACTATACCTATTACCATAACCGGAAACAAACCTTTGATGAAAATATCGAAGGCTTATCGTCAACTTTTATTACTTTATTAGCAAAGAAATTAATTTATAAACAGATAAATTTCGGTATTAGTCCACGTTAGCGGCAATAATAGTGATGTGTTATGTAACATATATTCATGGCATTTTATTCAAGGAAAAAACAAAACGGTTCAACCCACTATTAAAATAGTAGATTTAACAGTATTTTATAATCGCTATAGGGATATCTATAATAATGTTTTAGTTAATTTATTATAGTCATTGTTACAAGAAAACAAAGTAATTTTTACTATAATTTTATAGTTTATTGTATATTTTAATTAAGTTGTTCAAACAGTATTTATAGTAGTACGCAATGAAATTTATAATATTTAGAACTGAATTAAGTTCATATAACTGCAGCAGAAATTTAATTTACTACGATTAACAGTT